CAGCGAAAGTCAAAGTAAAAGCCAATGCCAAATTCACTCTCATTTGTCGTTTGCCTCGCTATATTTGTGTTGTTTTTTTGGCATTGTGTCTCTGGGGTGCCTGCTGCTTACAGTCTGGGACCTGATCGTTACCTTTATATAAAGCCCCAACCTCACCTAAGCACTGTGGTGGTACACGCCCATAGATGTCCCAAATACAGAAAACAAGAAGAAAACAGTAAAATACAGGCAGAGAGCAGAGTCTCTGCAGAAAAATACACTGCCACACACTTCAGGTGGGTTACAAGTGATGATTGATGGGATTACTTCCGTATGAGTCTAAGTAACTGCTGGACTGCTGGAGTGTTGTCTGCTTTGTGTTGATATGAAGATGCCCATTGTGGAAATCTTTGGAGGAGAGCTCTGTTTATTCCTGACAACTCTGACAGCAAGAGGTAAAAAGAAAATCCTCCGTCAATTATGACCATTTAACTCAAGCTCCTCATCCATGGAGTACAACAGCAAAAGGGGAGAGGCAAGGCGGGACACCCCCTTTTATAGGTGGGGTATCCCCAAAGGTGAACGTAGGGGTGCAGAAACTGATTATCAAATGTTCCACATATTGACTGTGGAGGTCTTTGTGTGTCAGGTCATAATAACAAGGTTGGTTCTAGACGTTTACAGGAATCACTTGGATTATATCTGTTTACATCAGAGCACTATAGTTGAGCTACACAGTGAGGCAGCGACTGTCATTTGAGCAGGGGAAGGAGAGACAAACGGCTGGGTGTAAAATATTAAATTTGTTCATGGCTTACTCAGAAGAACTCATACATTCATGGCAACCTCATATATTTCGTGCCGGTGGGTTGGCAAATTTGACTAAACAGCAGTAAGAGGAAGAAATTTCATGCTATATTAGAATGCAGGAATGGGCGCACATTCATATAGTTCTTACACACAAGACTGTTGATTCTTTTAAGCTTTCATAAAATTGCAATCCCCTAGAAAATCAAAAGAAAGGAGAGGAGAGGGAAAGTACAGATGATTCCTCGCAAAGTTAACAGCATATGTGATGACAGATGTGACCGACTTCATAGCGTGGCATCGAATTCCACCGTGACTTCAGGGTTATTTATCGCTACATTCACAGTGTGCTATCACAGAACCAGTGTACACGTTAATGTAGCTGCTCCGGCTTTTGATGATTTGTAATAAGTTACAGGAATGCCTGATTCTTTGTCCTTCCCTTCATCTTCAAAGGATTTAATCAGAATAAGTGACGCATAGCAGCTGGCAGACTGAGCACACATCACTGCACTGCACTGGCTCAGTCAAATTCCAAACGCAGCCATCCCCAATACTAGTCGACCGCTAAAGTTCCCTTTATGAATCCAAACAGCCGTGGATTTTCCATATCAGTGACATGCAGATGGATGGCGACCTATTCTGAAGCTGTTTGCGGACCTACTCAAGTGCGAATATGGCTGTGAGGCTTATGTCTGTGATCTGGTTCTGGAGTCCCAGCTCCTTAAAGACCACATTGTGGGTCAAAGTCTGAAAGCCAGAGCAGCCCTGCCCTGTCTCTCTTTAATCCCTTTATAAAAAAAGGATGTGGTCAAAATTAACAGTAAACATGAAATAAGCAGACAAGTGGATTGGATGGGAGGCGTTGGTTGATGATGGATGATATTCAAGTGACAACACTAACAAAGGCTGTGATGCACTGTTGAGTGTCGGGATGATACAGAGCTCTATTAATTTCTCTCTCTCTCTCTCTCTCTCTCTCTCTCTCTCTCTCTCTCTCTCTCTTTCTCTAGGAGGATGGCGCTGTACAGGGGTGGATGAATATTCTAGCAGGATATTAATAAATGATGAGGGGAGGCAGTGTTGAGAGGCTCACAACACTTTGGATTGCTCAACTGTTGTTTTTGCATCCTCTTCCTCCACCCCGGTACAGTATGTCCTCAGCCGGGTTCTCCCATGATGCGCTCCCTCCTCCTCCTCCATCAGCATACAAACTGCCCTTTTCCTCACGTGCTCCTCCCTCTCCATTTTATTTTTGACTTCTTACCTTGTACTGTTGTTGTATTTATGAAGAGCTGAGTGATGCGTACATGTATCTATCACAGTACTACAATAATGTGACTGACAGTTCTGTTAATACATATTCACAAATGAGATAACTGTCATTAGAAATGTAGTGTGATAGGGTTAGGTAGGAAGGCCCTCGCCAAAATCACGTCAGTGCTACCCAATATTAATTCACGTTCAATCCATCTGTGCCAAATGTTGGTAACTGAGAGTGCATCTGGGTGAGAACACCGAGTTTAGACAAGAGGCAGAAGTGCCACAAAGTGCCCTGCGGCCAGCCACAGAGCTCTGTGGAGCCACCGGGTTCAACTTCATAGAGGAGGCAGAAGTGCATTAAAGCCAGGACGCCATCCTTACCTGCTCTGTCGGCTTCCCAGCCAGCCAAAATTACAGCTGCAGCACTGATCTGCAGCATCGCATCGATGCGTTCCACTTTAAACAAGCTTCTGTGTTACCGTCATAATAATGTTCTGCTGGAGCCACTTATAGCCTGCAAACTGTCTGGGGTTTTAAAGGTCTAGTGAGTTCCTCCAGAGCTTAGGTATAGTCAGGCTTCACCTCTAGAGCTCAAATTATCTTTGTCATTTTTATCACTGAAAGTTGAATTGCACTGTCAACTTCCATCTATTAACCTTTTTTGTGGCGTTTTCTTTTGTAGGGCCATTTGAATGACAATGCTTGCCTCCCCACATGCAAATTTTCCACCAAAACAAGTTCACTCGACACTATTTTGGAACAGCACATTGCTGCATCATGGGCTTAATGCTGCCCAAGGTGACTCTGATTTCTTTAAAGTAACAACACAAACCAGGGCATTTTTACCTTATATCCACCCACCCATCCATTTTCATTCGCTCGGTCGGGTTGGGTTGCAGGGGCAGCGGGCATAGCAAAGCACACCAGACATCCCTCTCCCCAGCAGCACTTTCCAGCTCCTCCTGGGGGACCCCAAGTCGTTCCCAGGCCAGATGAGATATGTAATCCCTCCAGCATGTTCTGGGTCTGCCCAGGGACCTCCATCCAGTGGGACATGCCCGAAACACCCCCAGCAGGAGGGGCCCAGGAGGCATCCTGGTCAGATGCCCAAACCACCTCAACTGACCCCTTTCGACGCAAAGGAGCAGCAGCTATAGTGCGAGCTCCCTCCGGATGTCCGAGCTCTTTACTCTATCTCTAAGATTAGTAGAAAGCTAATCGGTAATTCCAGACCTTTCTCTAGTGCTAAAACAGCGCTAGGTCTGGCTACGTAAAAACGTACCTTACAGAAAAAAGGTACCATTGGGTACCAAATGCCAACAACCACAACCAGTACCGGTAATGATCTACTCTGAACAGTATCCAACCCTAATAACAGAGCAGGTCCATTCTACTAAGATAGATATGCCACTCCATTCATCTATCCATTAATCCGTCCATCCATCCCTCCATCTATGTTCATCTGCTTATCCGGGGCTCGGTCTAGGGGCAGTAGGCTGAACAAAGAACTCTAGACATCCCTCTCCCCAGCGATGCTTTCCAGCTCCTCCTAGGGGATCCCAGGTGTTCAAAGGCCAGACGAGATATATACAATCCCTCCTGCGTGTTCTGGGTCTGCCCTGGGGCCTCCAACCGGTTGAATGTGCCTGATCATTATGATCAGATGCCTGAACTACCTCAACTGGCCCCTTTCGATGCGAAGGAGCAGCAAGTTTCCTTTGGATGTCTAAGCTCCTCACATTATCGCTTAAGCTGAGCCCAGCCACCCTACAAAGGAAACTCACTTTGTGCGCTTATGTCTTCGATCTCATTCTTTCGGTCACTACCCCAAGCTAATGACCATAGGTGAGGGTTGGGACGTAGATGGACCAGTAAATCGAAAGCTTTGTCTTCCAGCTCTGCTCCCTCCTCACCATGACGGTCTGGTGAAGTGCCTGCATCACTTCTGATGCTGCGCCAAACCGCCTATTCATCTCATGCTCCATTTTACCCTCACTCATGAACAAGACTCCAAAGTACTTGAACTTTTTCACTTTGGGAAGCAACTCTCTCTCAACCCAGAGGGGGCAATCCACCGTTTCTGGCAGAGAACCATGGTCTCTGACAAGGAGGTACTGACTCTCATCCTGATCGCTTCACGCTCGGCTGCAAACCGCCCCAGTGCATGCTAGTTATGCCACCAAACTCAGTAACTCAGTGAGAGGTATATGGAGTGATGTGAAAGTGAACAAATATTGCAGAGATGTTGTGAAGGTTTGTGTGGTAGTTTGATGTTTTTCAGTCAGCCATTGCAAAGCATTACAATGTGCGTGTTAGGGAAGTGTGATATCAATTAATAGGCTTTGTCCATAATGTGTAAAAATACTAACACAGTGTGAAGTGTGTGAGTTGCTCTGTCAGGAACCAAGGTTATTGGCAGTTGTCTTAAAAGCCAGCATTATTAAATAGCACAAAATCTGTTTTGCAATGCTCCACCACGGAGATATGAAGTAAAAGCATTACAGATGTGAGCTTTAATGCACCCTTAAAAAGTATCCTTGCCACCTTGCTTAATAAAGCTCCACACAAAAAATATCTTGACCCTTCCCTTCCATATTTCTTCCATCCTTTTAGTTATTATTCCATCTGCTCATCTCATCCCTTCTTTGTTTCTACGCCCCAATGGCATGACTCAGTGGACAGCCAGGCAGGATAAGGAGCTCCCTAGGGCTCAGAGGTTGCTGTGTCTGCCTGTTTAGTGCCCAGCAACAGGTCTGAGTGTACCAGTACACAGACACACACAACATTGGACAGTGGTCAATCTATCATTATTGTTGGGTACATTTGCAAAGTCTGAACTGTCTCCACAATCTGGGAGAACTTGTCAGCTTCTCATGTGGCACTATAAGAATTCCTCCCACACTCTTCAGTATACTGTAATAACCTGCCAAGGCACAGTAAAGCCAACTCACTGATATCCGTAGGTAGGCAGAGCAGCTCTACTGTTTGCTCCAGGCGATGACCTAAAACACAAAAGGGGAGAGAGCGTCAAACTGAGCATCAAACTGACAACCCACATGAAAGACACACAGTTCAACGTGAAGACTGAGTTTTGATCTCTTCCTCTTGCCTAGATGTGCAGAAGGTACAAGGGGCGATGATGAGAAATGGGATTATTTGGGCATATTTAGTTCACAAAACTGAGAGTGATGCTGTGGGCTGTTTGTCACTGGCATCAACAAAGACCCACATTCATAACAGAAGTTGTTGCAACTGCATTATGCTAAGGATGAAAATGGGCTGTGCAAATCTTGTGCAAAGATTCCTGACATAGATCCAAATGGACACTGTTCTCTACATAACAATTATACATTATTATTATAACTATAATATTGTTATAGGAAAGTAATACAAGAATGTTATATGAAGTGAAGCTGAAAGTTAAGTTGGATTGGCCGTGATGTTTTTCATACAAATCTACTAAATGTTCAGAAAGAAAATATCAAACCAACGCTTGTAAAAGTGTATTGTAATTGAATTTATGCAAACAACAGCAAATAACATTTGACATTTGATCTGCTCTTATCTGCATCTAGTGTAATGAGCTTCAACTTCTGGCAGAGTTGAAGCCAAATGTGCTCCAGGAGTTGTGATCAGATCCTACTTTAAACCAAACCCAGTGCCAAACCCAAGACTTTTCATGGAAGGAATTTGTCATGCCTCAATTGTTTGAGATGGAGATGTGGTCTAACGAGAGCGACTGGCCAGCGGCAGAATTTCAGAGTAGGGGTTACAGTAAACCTGGTGAAACTGGCTATGTTACTGTTGCTCAACAACACTCTCCAAAACTCTGGCAGCAGGGTTTCACCATCTGCCACTGAGCCAAGGCCACGTGTCATATCTCATCCTCACAGCCTGAGACCCCTTGTGACAGCCTCAAGTTGCTGTCCCCACTCAGCAGTTGGATCAGATTAACCAGAAAACACACTAGCAGCATACACACTGTCGGTGTCAGCTCGATAGCCCTTTTCCAACAGCCAGCAGGGGTAGTGGTGAGTGAAGTGGCGGGGTTAAAAGGGGGCTAAAAAAACGAAGTAGGTGCAGGATGTGATGTAGACAGCAGCGGTGGCAGCTATGTGCTAGATGGCAAAATACCTAATCTGTCATGATGATTAGCTAATTATACAAAAATCAAAAATTTCAAGAGATCGAGTGATTTCCACTTAGCTTTGCAGTAACTAATGATCAATTTGACAGATGAAAATTTTCTTCAAAAACAGCTGGCTTTAAGCAAGTAGTCAAAACAACTTATGCTGCACCTAAGCAGAGTTTTATTGTCTTATCTGGTAAAATGCTGCAGAGAGAGAATATAGCAAAATAGCCTTCTGGACTGCAAGTGATCAACACCCGCTGACTCATGGAATGGGAAAACAAAGTTTGGTAGACAGGACAAGAAGAGATGACAAACACCTTATGCTATGTTCACACTACGAGCAACACAACAACAGCCTGACCAGCTTCGTGTTGCTCAAACGCTCATTAATGCAGTTACATCGTGACGGGCTTGTTTGTGTCTGCTACTTGCCACAAACCAACTTGACTGAGTTTCAACAAGTTTCTTTTGGGTCAAATAAATATCTATGCCTTTGATCAACATCTGATCCTCATTCTGACATCACATCTCGCCGCCCCATTGCATCCTTGTTTGTACGGCAATGCACATAAAGCTAGCATAGTGTCAGTTAACTAAGCTAAATAACACAGTACCACAGCTAGAAACAAACACTAATGACTGGTTGACGCCTCACTGCATCTTCAGAGTGACTTGTAGGACGTTGCTGTGTTGTTGTAGTGTGAACACAGAATCAGTGTAAGAAGAAAGCAGCTATAGAAATTCATTTGAAAGGAAAGCAACAAGATAGGTTTTTAAGTCAAGCCAATTCAATTATATTCATATTTCCTTGTACCACAAATTTGCCTCAAGGGGCTTTACACTTATAGCCTGTATAAATAATTAACATAGCCTCTCTGACGTCACCCATTAGTTTGCGCACTCCCGTTTTGAAGCCTCAAGCTCTGCATTTCAGCTGTCGCCATCTTGTTTTTTTCAGCCTGTCACTTAGAGCAGCCATGCCCCTAATCATGCATAACTTACAACTATGCTTCTTTATAATCTGTAAAGCATACGAGATACTCTGTCCTTGGACCCTTGATTCAGATAAAGAGAAACAGAACGGAAGAGAATAACCAACATAATAAAACTATAGTAGAGAAAATCAGGGTGGTAATGTTATCCATAGAATGTAAATACACAGTATATGAAGAATATGCTGACTTCTCCATCCATTTGTTCTCAAACATCCTAAAACAAAACCGATATCCAAGACAACGTTGTTTTGACTTTCCCTGAAGGTATGCACCAACTCAAACCACATCTACATGCTCAGTTGCAACACTTGTCCTAACCATATCCTCGGCATAACTCTGCCCTTAACCTAAAAACTAAGTCTAAATCCTTACATTAAAACATTGTTGGGGACCGTATTTTAGGTGAGTCCCCACAAAGCGATGGCAAATTTTCGTCCCCACAAATTAGGAAATACACAACACCCACAGCTTGTGTTCAAAGTAGTCACAATGACAATGTCTCTCCTATCTAACCACCACTCTAGCTCACCATGGCTCCCCTCCTCCTACTTGCCAACAGCCCTGAGGCTTGTATTGGTCCCACAGGCCCAACTCACACTGCAGCACACTGCAGCGAAACAGTGTTTGAGACAAAACACTCAGCAGATCACATTTACGGCCAACCCAAAGGGAGACAACATTTAGAAAGAAGAGATACTTGAGTTAGGCAATCTAGGAATCTTGAGTTGTTGTACTGCCTCATTCCCAGCACTGTTTTATCTTAGATAATGTGAAGCAAACATGGCAAACCATTTTATCACAGCTTCTCTATTAACCTACATAAATTCCTCTCTTTTGTACCATTAACTGTTAGAGCTGCCTTTGCGTCTGTTTTCCTAAATTCCCTTACCATTGTCATAGATCATTCCTGACTAGTCTTCAAGAGTGGTTGTACTGTGCTACAAACAATTAGCTGTGAGCATTCAACCCAGAAAAAAAGACAGGCAAATCAGAGTTCACATGAGCATGTGATTGAATACAAAATAGAAAATGTGTAACTCTCTCCCCCCACACCAGCCTCAAGAAGCCACACCAGCAATCTTAAAAGATGCTGATAATGGGCATAATCTGCAATTAAAAAGGACATCCTTTATTTTTGCAGGGCAAATCAGAGTAGTTACATACCATGTATTTGTCCCCAGGCTCTGCACTAAAATGTTCTGTATATAGACAACACCATGTAGGTTATCATCATACCACATTTTTAAATGTGCAAACTCTTCAACAGTTAACTTGTGCCTCACACTGTCACTCAGAAAAACAGCAGACTGCCAGCAGAGTGCCATATTACTCAGTGCCAATACAGAGCAGTAGTACTTGATGCTATCTGACAAGAAATGGAAAAAAGAGACTGGACTAAACAGGAGGAAAAAAAAGACCCTCCATCTGTTGCTGATACAGATCCTTCATGTTGTGGTGGGTGAGCTATGAATATGTCCAAAAGGGGGGAGGTTCTCTGTGCTCACCTTAGAGCTCTGCAATTTACACTAGAGTGATTTTCAAACTTGAAACCTGCAGGACACAAACACTGATAATGGACTTTAGAGTGAAGAAGGAGACATCTTGTGTCCAAAGCATCTGCATATTCATAGATTATGGATCTCTAAATGAGGGAGAGCAGCCTGTGCAGTAGCATTCGGGGAGTGGAGCAGTAAATCGAGTGCCAGCCCATGTATCCATCCGACTCAGCACCATTAGCCTGACTCAGTCGTGAGTACGCCAACTGACACACACAACTGTCAACCATGATGCACACAACCTCTAAATAGCATTAAATAACTAATTAAAACCAAACTCATCAGAAAACGGACACTTGAACACATCAGCATGTTAAGCCCTACCTAGAATGTCACCAACTATCTTTGGGAAAAACTTATTTGATGTGTTCTTTGATTTTTAGTCTGGCCCATACCCCATCGGCTCATGACCTATACTGCAGCCAGCCACCAGGGGGCGAAGCAGATTTTTTTTAAACATATACAGTGCGTTCCAATACCCATACTGCCATACTATATAGTATGCCATATTCTGGATATCGTGACCCACAATCATCTGCGCAGCTAAAGATACATCACATCGACTGAGCTGCAAACAGACGACAGCTTGACAGCTCACTGACAGCTGTTTGGAGCCGCAATGATGGATGAAAGCGCATTCAGGTGACTGTTGACCATTCAATTATTAATAAATTGGAATATTAATTGTTTAATTTAATAATCAGAAGTATAACCGACAACAAAAGGGTATCAGTATTAAACAATAATGACAGAGAATTGCATACCCTATGTAACTTTGATGACGTGAATATGATCTGTTAGAAACTACAATATGTACAGTTATTACTTCCTGCAAAATAACAACATGAGAGCTGCCCAGGGTTGACTTTCATTTAAGGCATAACGTTAGGAAGTAGTGTGTCGCAATTGTGTGCATACTGCATGCAACAGTAAGTACTTTTTAAGGATAGCTGCAGTACATGCTAAAAGAAAAAAGCATAGACTTTGTCTGAGGGGAAAAACATAATGCAATGATGACTTCCCCACACACTGGGCAAACAGGCATAAAGTTAGAACAAGCTGACAGATGCACAAAACAATTGTATGCACACCTACACCTCAACTCATCAAAGCCCATCTCCAGCAGGAAATCTATCCACACTGATGTCCATCCCTCACTCGAATGTCATGGCAGGCAAAGCTTACAGTACCCTGTTCACTCAAAATCCTTGCATAAGCTGTTCCATGGTATTTTACACCCCGTCAACATTTTTACAAGGTTGCTCACTGCCATGCTGTCGTGATCTCCTGTCCCAGAGCAATAACTAAGCTCTCTTTTC